TTTCTCCAGGGGCGGATCTGGGCCTAAGTCAGGGCGGTCCTAGGCCCACACTCAAAAATAAATAAATTACTAGTATATATAGGTGTTATATTATATATATTGATGTTAAGTAATGATATAATTACAAAGAATGTCAATTTGAACACAAATGCCATGTTAGCAAAATGGAAGGAGACCCACATGATTACCTTGTATGTCCCAAGTTCGAAGATCATGTAGAGCATGATTTTTTTTTTTACTTTACAATGGGAAAGAGTGAAAATTTCATTTTTCTTCTAAAATCTCTATGTCCCACACCTATTATATTTATTTTTCTTTGACATTGAAGTTGCAACATATTTTATTTTATTTTATTTTACTACTCCCTCCGTCACTTAAAACTTTGTCAACTTTCCTTTTTTGGATGTCCATCTAACTTTACAACTTTTCCTTTTAAGTACAGAATTTGTGGTTCCGGTTAATTCGCGCTCCTCTGCACAAATCCCTACCATACAATTTTTATTTTATTAATCTCCGTACCGGTCAAACATGACAAATTTTTAAGGGGCGGAGGTAGTATTTTACTACATTTTGTCATTTTTTTTGCAATACGCGTTATTGAATTAAAATTTTGCCCCACCTGAATGGCAATGCTAGATCCGCCCCTGATTTTCTCTATTCGGTAAAACCATGGCTCCTCCCAAATATTTATGGAATGACCATCCCCCACTCTCCAGAAATACTATTCCCGAATAATATTCTGAGTATGAATCAGGCTCTGCCAAATAAAAGAGGATTATTCTTTGGTTTGGCTTTCAAAAAATCTGTTCTAGGGAAGTATCTTGGTTTATATACCCGGCCCACCAAAGAATCCGGATTAGTAATATTTTTATTGTTAAAAAAGTTACATTGTTGGGTTAAACAATACCTAGTACTCCGTAGTCCGTATTATTCAAAATTATGATGACACAAAAACAACCCCAATAATTGGTTACAATGCCCTCACGCTTCCAAGGAGGCAAACTCCAGGCCTTTCAACTTCTGCTGCCTTTTAGATACTCGCATGGAATTGAAATGGATTGAACATCTTCCTGCCCAACATTGATAATATATATTCTAACAGTTGATCATATCATCTTCAGGCTGTTAAGGCTTATTAATCTACCTCATCAACTGCTTGAACTGAATCATCACATTGAAAGTAATAATATGAATACAACGCCTAAAAAATCCCGTGTTTGCTTGAAGCTGTTGATAGATGAGAAGTTGAATCGAGTGGTAGCCGCCGAAGCAAACTCAGATTTCGTGGATATACTCCTCAGCTTCATCACCATCCCCATGGGAGCCGCAATCAGGCTCACCAGCAAAACAGATGCTCAAAAAGCAACGCCCCTGAAAATTGGTTGCATGAACAAGCTGTACCATGCTTTTGAAAACATGAGCCCAGAAATCTGGTATACCAAACACTGCAGGACCATGGTGTTGAACCCCAGAAATCCGTGCGCTGGCTACTGCAAGAAGTTGAAGATCAATGTTGATGATTCTGGGTCCGAGGTTACATACATGTGTAGCAGAGGAAGGTGTGGAAGCCAGTACGAAGATGTTCCCTGCAAGTGTGGTGACACGACCAATGCTCCAAAGGAAAGCACATTAATCCATGATTCTTCGGGGCTTCAGGATGGTGTGTTTCTCAAGAGGGGGAAGGTAATGTTCATCATCAGCGACAATTTAGAAATCATTCCTTCTTCTCCAACTGTTCTTGCCCAGATTCTATCTGGGCTTGGTTCCAGCAATATGAACCGAATCGGTGAGATGTCTGTAGATGTTAGCAAGGAGCAGGTGATCCGTCTGCTAGAACGTTCACCGATAACCGCTTTCGCGGCGTTGTAGTAAAACGGAGTTTAACCTTTCGGTTTTTCCCCGAGTATCGTGTCTCTCGAAGAATGACGGAGGAGCTTCTTGATTTTAAGTCCAGTCACAGGTTATCGCAAATTATTGGAAGCTTTCCAAATTAAAACTTTTGATTGATTTTCTAAACTACTTTTTGGAAAAGAAAGTAAATTAAATTGTGCAAATACTAATGATGGCTCAAAAATAAACTAAAGGAAAAAATATAATATTAAACTTAAATGGATTGATGCAAATAAGGGCAATGAATTGAGTAATTAGAAATGGATATATTCTTGGACCTAGTAATTAGGGAAATTAAAACTAAAATTGGACTAATAATTTCTTTCCTCATAGACAAGAATAGAAACTATTTTCATTAATTTATCCTATTTCTAGGTGTCATTAATGTGTTAAAAATAGTTGGCTTGAATTAAATTCTAACCTCATAGACAAGGTAGAAATAATTCTCCAATATTTTAATTAATAAAAATAGCCAAATTCATTAACTAGTTAAACTCATTATTTAAGCAATTGAATTTATCTCTCATAGACAAGATGTAAATCCCTTTCATTAAATTATCCTATTTCAAGGCCTTATTAATGTGCTCGAATATGGTTGGCTTAAATTATTTTCTTATCTCATAGACAAGTTAGAGATAATTTTCCAAGAATTTAATTAATGAATATGGCTAACAATTATTTATTACTATTTCATCATTTCAAACAACTAGTCCAAATTATTAATTTTAATCCCTAATTTTCGGTCAACAAGTCAATCCATATTCCTTTAGTCAATTCATGCCCAAAACAAATTTAGCTAATAAACATCATTTTTTCATTTAACAATACAATGAATAAATTCAACATTAACAAGGAATTAAGCATGTATAATAGCGAAAAATAAAAAAAAATAATATTCTGCCAAAATAAACTTGTAGAACTAAAATATCACCTTATGGAATTTTTCCTGAATTTTATAACCTAAAATCCAATTTTAACAACTAATTGATAATTTTCCCAATTTTAACTAGAAAATGCAAAAAGCAACTAAAAATACTCTAACTTCGTTATAAATTTTATTTTAACTACTGGTAGTGATATAACAATGAATTAAACTGAAATTAAGGCCGAACTAATTTTTTCCCTTTTTTTGAGTATTTATTTTTATTTAAGCAATAATATCAAGTAATTACCGAAATTAATTAAAAATTACTTCTACTTCGTGAAAAATAAATTTATTCAGATAAATAACTACCTTGAGGCTAGTTAACAACTATATAATTAATTGGAATGAATTCAACATCAATAACTATTTAAATCAAGGTCTTGGGTGTCTATGATTATGAACGAATAGGGAAAATTTTCATCAATCTAAGGATAGTGATATATTAATTCTCATAGACAAGAAATTAATTTTAATCCCCTAAAATGTCCTATTTCTAGGCTTAATTAGGGTGTGTGAGATTTGAGCTAAATTAATTCCAAACTCATAGACAAGAGAGAATTAATCTTCCAAAAATTCACAAGTGAAGCGATCAAATTCACAAATTACTCTTTCAATTTCATCTCAAACACTTAGTCCTAACAATCGGAGACTTTTCTCAAATTCAATTCAATATTCAAGAACACCCATTAACCTTAATTTAACCAAATCCAAACCCCATGGAAATTTAAGGTTGGTTTGCAACAACTTTAAAAAAAGCACTTCTCAACTTTTGGCTTAAAAAAGCACTTATTTACCAAACACTACCAATTTTTTACTTTTCTCGGCTTTCGTGTCAAAAGTGCTTTTCCCCTTTTTATACACCAAAAGCACTTATTTTACCAAACACAACCAACTTTTACTTTTCAAAATCACTTTTTTCTCAAACACTATCAACTTTTACAACTAATCACTTTTTCATTTCATCTCCAAAAGTGCTTTTTTTTAAGCAGAAGCTGTTGCAAACACTCCCTTAGCCTAACATCATTTTCAAGAAATTAACACAAATACTGAAAAACAGTGACATAATCCATGCATAAGAATTTAAACTGGAATTCGAAATTCAAAGATGAGAGCTGCTTTAAGAACTGAAGTCAAACATAAAGCTTTAAGAATCGAAATTCAAAGATGATACAGAGTAAACCGAAATTGCTATTGACTATTGCTGAGTTTCTTCTCCTGTGTGCGTATTTCTTTCTCTGCTAGCTCCTTTATATGCCCTCTTGGATCTACATTTTTTTGCTTTTTCTTTCAAGACCTCTTTTGCTCCTCTTCTGGAATTGCGACCTGCTCTATGCTACGGATGTGAATTGTAGCTGGGAAATAATATGTGGCTGAATGATTGCAGCTTATTTTCTGGAGTTTTCTTTCCTACTGCCGACAAGTAGGAGTGTCTTCCCCTGTTTTTTTCTTTGGCTATTAAGTAGACAACCAGCTGCCCATCTCTTCTCTCTTGGGCCAAAGATAGGACTCCCCACCCTTCTCCTTTATTTTGTTGACTCCTTGTACTCCATTTATTTTTTTATTCTTGTTTGCCTTTCTTTTTTTTGTCACGCAGCCTTGCTGCATTTTTTTTTATTTCTCATTTTTTTTGTTTTCTTAACATCATTGGTTTATTGATAAAAAAACATTGAAATATAATATGTATAAATTCTAAAATTTGATAAATCACAAAATACAAGTAACACAAATAAGTAAAAGAAAACCTCAAAAAAACAATCCAAACACTTCAATAAATCACAAATTACTAAAAAAAACATAAACTTCAACACTAATTTCAAACATTAACAAAAATGTAACGAAAACACAGAAAAATGTATCAATTTGCCCTGAGTTTAACAAGAAACGCTATAAAAAGTGAGTGAAAATATATGAACAAATCAGACTTATCATTCAGTGGTTTCAAAGTCTCCTTTAACCGATGTGTTTCTACCAAAGATTGGAACTTTGAGCTCACCTACCATACCATTGGTACCGCAGAAAGAAGTGGATTACTTCTTAATACGTGGTGTTTTGCTAGCAGAAAGAATAAATGCTCCAAAATTGAATCTGAAAGTGACGTTTAATAAGTCTTCGAACAAGATTCTGTTTGCAGAGGCCACAAATAAGTTCTTTGATTTCCTTTGTACCTTCATGACCATTCCTATCGGTGCAATGGAATATAATTTGAAAGGGAATTCTGGGTTAGGCTGTATGGATGACTTGTACACAAGTATGGTCGAGTTGGATGACAAATGGTTTGATGGCAGTGCTAAAGAATCCTTAAAGTTCTCTAGAGTTGCACAGCACCATAATTGTAAGAATCAGCCTCTACTATTGACAGAAGAGTGTGAGAGTGACATTCTGATTAACCCCATGGACAGCAAAAACTTCGTGCAAGGACCTTCAGAGTTCATAATTTCAGACGATTTGGATGTGAAGCCCATGTCTTCTGCATCAAGCTTTAACATACTAAAGGAACTAAGAGTCCCCATCACTGAGATTGAGCAGCAAGTACTCCCTATTAGCTTTAAAGAGGTACTTACTCTTACGGCCGGTTTTACCATATTAGCGTATTCATTCATGCATGTGTGCGAGAGGCCGAATGGTTTGAACTTTGAAGTGCCTTTTCAATCATTAAAAGTAATCATGTACTCCGTATAGATTAAGGTTTCATTCCTCCCTCGTAAAATGTTTTTCTGATGTTTAATTTTTTTATGAACATATGACAGTATATTTTGTCGTGGTGTGCACTTCAAAATAAATATTCAATACAACACTTATACGTAGTATTAGCGTAGCAAAGTTCGTATCCACATGGAAAGGAATACTTCTCTTTTAATTAAATAGTAGCAAGGTTTCGGCTGCCGCTATTTGGGGCGGTTCTTGGTGGAATTTTTTAATGAAATTTTTTGAGCATCTTCTTCATCAAGTCTAGTTTACTCATACCAAATTTCAGCTAAAAATTCAATCAGGAAGGCAGTCAAATGAATTTTGAAATGTTAATGAAGAAGATCTTAAAATGTTAGTTCGAGAGCCTATTTGACCCTTTAGCCTTGGTCAAATTGAGTTTCTTTTTTGGGCCATCTTTGTCCTTGATATGATATTCAAATAAGTGTTAATAATTAGGGATATTACTTGAAATAGGACTAAAAAGGTTTGAAAATTCCAAAATAGGATTACTATTTTTTTATTCCCAAAATAGGACTAATTACTGCCATGTTTTGGCAGTACCAGACTTCAAACATGGCAGTATTTTCCAAACTTGGCAGTAATTACTCCTATTTTGGGAATAAAAACCATGACAGTTCTATTTTGAAAATTTTCAAACTGTTTTAGTCCTATTTCGGGAACTTTCCCTAATAATTACTCCATTTATCCTTTTATGTAAGATAAGAACATTGTAATTTAATTTTAATAAACATGTTTTATAGATTATTATTTGACTTCATAAATGCCTTTTTTATTGAGGACGTTTAAAGAACATTCGTCTGTTGGAGAGTGATAGAGTAAGTTGACAATAATTTGATTACCAAATAGGAATACAAAAATTTGTTTAAGAACATTCATCCATGCATAAAAGAAAAACAAACAATTCTTTAAGGGAATGAGAGAGTAACAAGTATCTTCTTTATTTTCATACATTTGGGTCAAACACAAATGTAACCTACTTAGTATTTTTGTGACAGATCAGAATATGTGTCTTGGAATTCTTCTTGGGAGAAAACATAAATGCAACCTTTATTATGGGACAGAAGTAGTGAAATCTGATCCATAGAATTACAGATACACTAAACACGTTTAATGTATGGCAAAGTGTGAACATTTTATGCTAAAGATTGAATTTTTGTTTTCCAGGGAAAGGTATTTAATGAAACCACATAGACTAGAGTGTAAGGCATCTCCGATGCTCATGGTGCATTAGTATTAAGGTGGAAGTCAAATTACAAATGGAAAATGGTCTATTCCATCAGTATGTGAGCCAAAAGTAACAAAATGGAAAGCTTCGAAATTAAACATCCGTACGGACTCTAATGGGGAAGACAACAATTAAAAAAATGAGAGCAATCTTTGAAAATATATACTTCGTACATTGTAGGCTTGGTCTATTTAGAAGGGAAGTTTACCTAAATCCAACTAAAAGACACTCTGTATGAGTAATAATTTAATTACATACGCGTAGTATGTACTTTATTAGAAATAAAAAGTTAACTAGTCGTATTTTAGGAATCACCACCTCTTTTGATGATACTCCTAATAATTTTGTCTACTAAGAATTGGAGCCAGGACTGGCGGTCTAAAAACAGACCTCATTGGGGAATGGGGATCCTACCCACCTTCTTCCAAAGCTAACTCATCTACACTCGGTACATTTCGACCTTTTGGCACGAGAGAGATTCTTTGAGTAGTCTAATGATTGATAAATGCTACACAGATGATTTTAAATGCCCATTGAAGGTGCTCTTAACTCGACAGAGTTTCAATAACTTTGTTTTCAATGTGGATCACCCAAACAATGCTCTAATTAGACCAACACAAACGTTAGATTCTGTGGGTATCTAGTGCAGCAATGCAGCCCAAGTAGTTATTTATCTACAAATGTTAATGATTGTTGCAATGTTCATCTTCTTGCAGGCATCGAGGTTTCTAAAGGCTGCACTTACATCCCCATCTGCAGTTCTAACTAATGGCTTGGGCTGCTTCTTGCAGAAGCATAAAACATAGTCCCGGATGATCGCGCAATATCTCTGGCCTTTGAATGCGCATGAAACTCAAGGAAGTTCAATTCACGTAACATTACTGATTCATCAAAATCATTGTCGTCAGTCGTCACCAAAAAGAACATTCTATTTTGATGATTTGATCACATTAAAAATTCTACTTTGATTTTAAATCAACGCAATATTACAATCATTGTAGTGGATTTTTATGTGATTTTTTCAGTCAACATTGTGATACGTACTCTATAACATACTACTCCATACTATAAAGCATTGCCAAGGAAGACACTACAAAACACAGCGTACATTGTACACTCTGTTGTAAAGTGCTCGTTGTACAACTGAGTATTTTACGTTATACTTAACGAGTATAACATTTAAAGAAAATGAGTATTGATATTAAATCACTATATTGATAGTACAATTGAGTATTAAAATCGTGCAATTGATTATATCAAAACATTTATTTTTTAAATTTTAGGGAAAATCACACTTTTAGTCCCTGAAATAGTCACAAAAATGAAATTTCGGACTCGTATTTCTGATATTGTAAATGTCACCCCTCAATTGTCCAAATTGTTGTAAATGTGGTCCTTTAAGGGGTGAAATTTTCGTGACTATTTCATTTTCGTGACTATTTCAGGGACTAAAAGTGCGATTTTCCCTAAATTTTATAATTTAATATTAATACTCATTTCTTTTAAACGTTATGCTCATTTCTTTTAACTTAAAATATCTTGTAATATTGTGTGCACGATAAATGGGCCTGAACATAAACAATTAATGTAGAGATTAATATCCTTTAGCGCGGTATAGAGCATGTCAGGTTTCATGGCGAGAGATTATATCAACCGATTTGGATGTCTCGAGATTTGGAGTATGGGTGATCTTGGTCTCACTCCTGGGATCAGTTTGGATTGGAACTGCCCAGTTTCGAACTGGAATTGGTAGCAGAAAATAAGGTTCCAATTCAGGATTGAGACCGGACTTGCAGAAAAGAGGTTCTGGTTCTGTGGCCTCCAAACTGGTTCTATTTGATTTGGTTTTTGTTTTTTTGCTATGGAACCATTGGAGAACATTCCATACAGGTTGAAGGTACATTTAAAACCTTAAAAAAGGTGTAGATAGGGGTGGTGAGAGCAATAGGAGGGTGGGGGGAGGGGTTAAAACTATACTAAAAACATAAAAAAACCAAGATCTGACCAGGACGGGTTGGCCGGGATCGGAACAAGCCACAAACCAGAAATAGAGATCGATCCCGATCCTGGGCCTCCATATATTTTCAAAGACCAGATGGTCAGGGACTATAATCGACCCGGAAAGGACGGTAAGGCTTCTCCATGGCTAGAGATTATGGGAGTGTTTGCAATTGCTTCAACTTTAAAAAAGTGATTTTTTAAAGTGATTTTGGGAAAAGTGATTAATAGTAAAAGTTGGTAGTGTTTGAGAAAAAAGTGATTCTGGAAAAGTAAAAGTTGGTAGTGTTTGGTAAAATAAGTACTTTTTGTGTAATAGAAAAAGTGAGAAGCAGTTTAAAGCACCCTTCTACCTGCTTCCAGCTTTTAGCTTTTAAGTGATTAATTTAAGCAGAAGCTGTCATTTGAAAACACTCTTTTCAACTTTTTTTAAGTCAAAAGTTGAAAAATGCTTTTTTAAGCAACCCCAAACACTCCTTAAATAGACTATAGTTACATGGACACACGCAAATGCGGTATATACATGAAATTATCGAAAGTTAATAATTGCTATAAAACTTTTAGTAGTCAACACAATTTTTAAGAAGAATAATCAATGTCTGCTCAAAAAATATGAATCTCCTCTACTAAATTGAGTTACACAAGACGCCGTTAACGTGACTAACACGGATTATAAACATATATGAAACAACTAAATAATTTAAGAATAACATTCTCTAGACATTCTTCGATAAACTACTACGTACGTATATAATTACCTCGATCTATTGCTTATCACTAGATTTTCACCCGTGCGATGCACGGAATATAAATTCAATAATTATTGTATAATAAATTTATTAATAATATTAGGTAATGCACAATAAAAAGTGATAGTATAGATATTAGTAAAATTAGTAAAAGGTATCAAAAGAGTTTAAATAAATGTAATACTCTATATAATAAAAAGTTATAATTAAAGAAAATCTAATAAACATTGTTAGGAAATATAAAAAAATATATTAACCATATGTTATGATAGCATTATTGAATTAAAACAAAAAAAGTAATTCTTATTTAGTGAAATAGTTTTGATTGTAATTTTGTAATTGATAGAATGATAGTGCAATTATCACACGTAATTTAATTTCTATTTATAATTATAATATTTTTTAATGATAGTAATAATAATAATAAGAGTATATATGATTATCATAACAACAGCAACAATAAAATAAAAAATTATTATTATTTTAATTAATTATTGTTACTATGTAATTTGTGCTCTCTCCGTATTTTTATGTTCACTACATTAGGATTGGCACATTATTTAAGGAATAAAGTAGTTTGAGTAATGAATATTGTAGAAAAAGTAAGATAAAATGTGTAAAAGTATGCAAAAGAAGATAAAAAAATAGAAAAAGATAGAGTAGTTGAGTATTTTGTGAAAGATAAACTTAAAACAAAAATGAAAGTGTAACAAACTTTAAACACATGTTTAAAGGGAAAATGTAGTAATTCCCGTGAACAACATTTCATCTGACATAGCCTCTGTTTTTGTCAAAACATACGTGCATCTTTAACTTTTGTTTTTGAAAGCGCATCTTAATCCTATTAGCAATATACTCCATGACTAATAACTCATCATTTTGGACAGTCCCTTATCAGCCCATATGAGACCAACCTCACCATTTAAAGTGACCCAATTATAAAGCCCTAACTCATATAACACCGTTTTCCTAGCTGCCCTTTTAAAACATCTGTAGGACCGTACAACACTACAACACATCAGATTAGAACTTAGATTATCCGATATACTCACTCTCATACTGTAGGTCGTTGTGGCCTTGGTTACTTCTCCCCGGATTTCTTCTCGAAGTCTTCTTTACTGTCCATCGTCGCTGATTATTGTCCTCTTATCTGACCATTTCGATGGTTTAATAATGTCGTTACTTCTATTTATTGTTGGATCGACCCCTTGCCTGACCACCTGAATCTTGACGGTTGTGAGAGCTTATCGATGCATCTCAGGCCTTGACTTACGACGACACTCTCAGGATTTGGGTATATCCCTCGCATATCCGTCCTTGATTTTGATTATTTTTGCATCTCATGCTTGTATCTCAGGCCTTGAATATTTGTATGATACTCCGTAGTCCGTACATACATTCACGCTATATACTATATATGGGTTTGATAAACAAATCTGTTAAAGTATTAAATGTGGATGCCACATTTATATGTCTTTCACTTTGAGTAGACTGTATTTTAATAATTACAAATAAGTTAAGAACTTTTTCAATTGAAAATTGGATAATTTTTGTCCAGTTCGTATAGCATATACGGAGCACCACATTGTCTCTGTACACATGTGTTCCATTTCTTCCTGGGAGCGTATCTTCCTTCCTACACGACCATCTCTCCGACGTAGCACTGTGTGAACTTGTAATAGATCTACTGCACTGCACATATCATGATTTGTATTGTAAAAACATCATTTTTGTCAAATATATGAATTTTTCTTTGATATTTGAGCTGAACAACACTCTTTTCCGATTATGATACTTGATGTTTTTACATTTCTTTTCCTTTTTCTTTGATATTTGAGCTGAACAACCTTCTTCTAACCTGTGTAGTGAATAATGCCTGTTAGAAGTATTAAATTTTGATTATTAGTAACTATTATTCAGTTCACCATTTAAAAAAGGTTTTGTTTTGTGAGTTTATACTCCGTATAATATACAAAAGTTTATAAGCAAAAAATAAATAAATATCCAAAACTTGTGAAGGCATGCTACCTAGCTTCGGAAAATCAGTACCTACTTCCCAAAGCTTGTTGTTTATTGCCGATAAGAAATATGCTTAATGATAGCAAAAAAAAAAAAATTATGCTACCTCTTTGATTTGTAAATATATTAAACACTAAACATCATTTTAAATATTTCTCTAAACCACCTTTTGAAATCATATTTTCTATTTAATGCTCCGTACTTTTTACTATACAGTTTAGTATGGCTATTAGACTCGTTCCACAAAAACGGGAGTTTGTAATCGCTGGTCTATTAATGCTCGTAAAAGATCCTTTCATGACTGTAACTCCTATCAATGCTTCTAAATGAAATATACTTACTTTTTGCTCTGCAATAAATTTCCCATCGTCTTTCCTCGCTTGGAATGACATAGCTCCTCATATCCCTTGACTCTCTTCGAATGCTTGTTGTGAGATGCTGCGCTCGGTTATTGTGTGAATGGCCTGGTTTTATAGTAGAATCGCACAACTGATGTTTCCTACTTTCCTTCAGTACTTTGATTCATTATACGATAGTATTATTCATCATACGGAGTATAATACACGGATACTCCGTATGTAACACTCTAATATCCGATGAATATTGGTAAGCAACTCCAATAAGGACAACATATTAAATTCATTTTCTTTTTTCTGAATTAACACGTGACAGGACAAATCAGTATAGATAGTCACCGTTAATGCGAGTGACAGAAATTTTGAATAATCAAAGAAGAGTTTTGTGAGTGGAGGATTTCAACACAGATAAGGATGCAAATATGATGTCAGTTCCCAATACGTTCCAGAGTCACTGTGGCAAAGGACAACAACGCAGTACACCCATGACCCATCAAACATACATTTATTAACCCTGGCCCACTTGAAATAACATGATCTTAGCTTTCGGCATACGAATCTCTCAAAATAACCGACCAGTTTATTGACCCGTATCTTTTGGCGGGAAAAGTGGCTGGTTTTCCACTTCCTTTTGTATATAGTAAGATTTTTGTATTTTATCATTACCGATCAAGAGTTGATTGTTGTGTTTGAATATATAAGTTTTACTTGTTGATAACAATCACAAATTGAGTAAAACCACAAATGAGTAAAGTTGATATGAAATGTATGTTACTACTGAGTACAAATGAGAAAGTAAAACTGTAGAATAGAAAATAGATTTGGCATTTTATGCACCACATATGGGTTTCTTGATGTTGACATTAACCTACTATAAAAAAAATGTCAAGGCAACAAACCTACGTGAGGAAGGGGAGATTGAGAAAGAATAAGAAAGGAGTAGAATAAATATGAAGAAGCTATTCCTTGAAACAAGC